GTTTAAAGTCTAAAAACGCACTCCGAAAGTCACCTTGAGCAAGATATGTGACGCGATTTAAGGCCATTCAAGGTGGAATCCCGCACGCTCAAAGTCACTCCCTAAAAGTTGTGTGACGTATAGCTGTGCCATCAAACTTAAATTGACTGAAGGTCATTCAAAGTCAAACCAATAACGCACTCTAGAAGTCACCTTGCCGTTTATAACGCATTTGTAAATTGGTCAAGATCAAATCAAACACTCTCAACGTTACTTTAAGTCGCGTGACGTAAAGTTCATTCAAGGTCAAAATCGAAAGACATTCTCCAAAGCAACCCTGGATTATGTAACGTCAAGTTGTTTCAAGGTCAAAGATGGACGGCGTCTTATGGCCAAATCCATTTATAATTGAATAGAACTGGCCAAAACTTGATGAAAATCCATATTAAAACTCATTAATACAGTTTATTGTATGATTTTTCACTATAAAAGGTTTTACAAAAACCGCGACACGTGTTTCGCTATACAATAGCTTTCTCAAGCGTTTTACGTTTGAGTTTGAATCCATTTATATTATCTTTTCCAAAACTTCGCAAAATAGTACATATTCCTTCAACGCTTTGTCATGGAATTGGAATGAAACATTCATGCATTTTATTTCATAATCAATATATACTATATAGCCGAAATTCACTAAAGCAAAAATAGGAATACAAATAGTATATTTTTTCAATTGAAAATTTTTGACACGGGTATAGATTTATCAGTAGATCCAATTTATCATCCGAATCCACCGATTAGATACAGGTCTGAAGCATTGATAAGATATCTGAATTTTCTGATTAAATCGGTCGTCACTAGATGAAGACCAATAGTTATTTCACAAACTAACCTAACGATTTGATCTTCACAAAAATATCACAAACATTTCAAAAAATATCACGTTTCGCTCTCACTATAGGTTTTTCGTAGTTTATAATATACTCAGTATGTCATACACTACACTACATGTGATATTTTTTGAAAATTAAGTTTGTGAAGATCAAATCGTTAGGTGTAGTTTGTGAAAAGATACCGGAAATTCACCTCAGAACTGCTTCGGTAAAGTTCAGTTCTAAGTCAATGTCACTTTATCAAACATGAGAGTATACATCATGTAACCATTTCAAAAATGCTTTCGCTGTAAGCATTTCTTGTAACATCCCCAAAATTGGTTTAGTTATAGACCTATCCATAATAATCTTTATGAACTTATAGAACAGACTGTTTTAGAAAAATCGGGAATACTGAATTTGAGATACGCAGAAGCTTTTTATAATTTATTTTACTTCTACCTACCTATATGACTGGCTACAAAGTTCTAATTGGGTCAAATTATAAGGACATTCGCACCTGTAGATTCCAAATGGTTCACAAGTCAAGTGTCATTCCTATTATTCAAGTTCTCTATTGTTTTTATAAATACTGTGTTTATTCTGATTTAAAAAAATATTTTTATGAGTCAAATTTGTCGCTTGATTTCTCGTTAGGGTATTTGAACTGACATATTTTTTTAGATTAGATAACTTTATGATCCTAATAACTATCAAACCATTTTCAATAGAGTATCAAATTGGGTATTTTTGAATTCGAATCAGGTGGAATGACGCTTTTGCCAAGGAATGATAAATCTGAAGGAGTAGGTATCGTGAATTTATTCAGGGTCATGGATGTCTACTTCTACGACATAGCCATTGAGATAAACATGATAATTCGCCTATTTGTAATCGTTAGAACATGCTGGTTGCATTCAAATAAGAAGTAAAAAATTGGGGCTGAATCATCTAAACAGTAATGGTTCCGGTATGAGATTAAGTAACGCTTATGGATGAATGATTTATCAGTGAAGGATTTGAATCATTTGTGTTTATAGGCTCCAGAATATAGGCTTCAATATATTTTCTAGTATAGATTTGCCTTGTCGGGATTGTGAGAGATATAAAATTGCAATCATTCAACTGTGATGCACTGTTTTAAACCTTTGGTGTAATAATGATAATTACTGGAGTTTTATCCTAACACTAAACAGTTATTTTTAACACTTCGACAAGTAATTGAATCACCAAGTGATCATCTTCAAGTACAATCTTCCTCTTGAAGACAGTCACTTGGTGATTGAAACACGTGTCGAGGTGTTAAAAATAACGGTTTTGAGTTGGGATAAAACTCCAGTATTATTCATTCAAATGATGTTGCAATGATTTTCGTTTGTCACAAAAATACATCAAGCATCCATCACAAAAATGACCCTATATGCCTAAGAGATGGAATTTGCAATATTTGCAAATACATATTTGCAGAAAAGTATGCTCGATATTAAACTAACTCTTGTGAGTGGCCCCTCTTTTAAACAAAACTTATAATGTGGACGAGAGATATACGTGAAGTTATCTCAACAATGGCATTGCTGAAGGTCGTTCAGTCACTTTGTCAAGACCGTTCAAGGTCATGCCCAAAGTCATCTTGGCTGTAAGGTCAAGGTCATTTCTAGGTTCAGTGGTGGTGAGAGATTCCGAAATCGGTATAAACCAACTCCTTTGGAATAATGATCGATAGGCATCTGAAATAGGATCATCAAATAACTTTTATTGAAAAATGAGAACTTTTTTTTCAAATTCAAATTTGTGAAGCAATTTTTCAACAAAAACTTCCCAATGATAGAACATAACTACAATGAAAACTCTTAACAAAGATATTTAGATTATACACGGAAGTTTCTTTCAGATACAAACTGAAAGAAAAAACCTCTTTGAACAATTACTTCCACATGAACACGAGGAGGAAAAGTTCTTAAAAAACAACTACTTTCATATGGACATTGAATAACACGAAAATCACTATTTCTCATTCAGTTTGAACTCCGAATATTTTTTATGGAATTGAAACATATTATTCATAGAAATAATACTCAACGTAAAATATGAAATAGCATTATTACAAGATTTAACTTACATGGAACACTATCATCCTTAATGGTACACTTCGCAGTTTCGGGAGAAAACACTTGTCTTATCTCCTCATTAGCACCGTTTTAAGATAACATTATAGGTCGAAATACTCTTGTCATGATACCCAGTCATATGAATTCCTTTTTGATTGAAAAGGAAAAGGAAGCTTTTTCACTACTTGAATTCATGATCTACAACACATCTTTGTTAAAAGTTTATTTTGAACATAATTGATATCTTTCTTTCTTTGGTAGTTTTCTACATTTTTTTTGTATAGAGAAGAGGAGATTTAAAAAGTCAAAAAGGTTTTATCCCAAACTAATATATCCTGAAAAATCTTTTTTAATTTGAACATTCTTTATAAATTGACAGGGGTATATTTTTAGGACAGAATAATTTTTTGAAAAGAAAGGTTTTGGATTTCTACTTCTCCATCTTCACACAAAAAAATTGTGGAAAACTTTCAAATAAAGGAGGACAGCAATTAATTTTAAAATGAAGTTTTTACAAAGAGTGTAGATCATGCAAAGAAGTAACTTATAAACATTGAAATATATGAAAGAAAAAACACTTTAGAAACAACTACTTTCATATGGATATTGAATTATTCAAAACACTTTTTCTATTCAGTTTGTACTCCACACATTCGTTTTGGATTTGTTTCAGATATCATTCACAGGATGGCTACTGATGGTACACTGATGGCTACACTGTTTCGGAATAAGATGCTTGCTTTATTGCCTCTTCAGCACCAATCTGGTTAACATTACAAGATGAAGAACTCAATTTATTCAAAAAATGAATAGGAATAGCCATAAATAGCCATAGAAATCTTGTTTTTTTTGGAAAGCGAAAACCCTTTTTTCTCAAAAATGTATCTCTCCTTAAATATACCCGTTTCAATTTGAACAAGACTCCTATGGCTGGGATAAAATTAAATAAGCGACTAAATATCATTACGTACTGACATCGATGGCATGATTAGATTTAATCAATGCGTGAAATAAAGTTGTATATTTATGAAGTAGTTCAGTGCTTCATTTTGAAATGTTATCCAGATTGGTGCTGAAAAGCCAATAATGCAAGTGATGACAAGGATATAAGTGAAATTTCATATTGTGTAGCAGTCTTGTGAATGATATCTTATTCAATTTCATAACGGATGTTTGAAGTACAAACTAAATAGTAAAAAGTGCTTTTTATAATTCAATGTTCATATGAAAGAAGTTGTTTCGAAGGTATTTTTTTCTTTTGTAGTTGGAATTAAATCAAATGAGCGAATTAATGTCATTACGTAATGTCACTGATACGAGTAGATTCAACTCATTCCTCATTCCTGACATAAAGTCGTAAGTGTCTCTTAACAAAACATCGATATCCGTCATTGAGGATGACAGTATTCCATGTAAGTGAAACATTACCTCTACTATATACTACATTGTGTAGCAATCCTGTTAATGATATCTGATTCAATTCCATAATTCCATGTTTGGAGTGAAAACTGAATAGGAAAATCTATTTTTGTATAATTCGATGTTTATATAAAAGAAGTTGTTTCAAAAGTATATTTTATTTTATGTTATTCAATGTTTATATGAAAGTAGTTGTTGCGAGAGGGTTTTTTCCACTTTGCGTCTGAAAGTTACTTCTTTGCATGATCTACACATTATTGTGAAGAGTTTATTTCGAAATTAATTGCGTTCTTTCTTTGGAATATTCCAAAATTTTCTGTATGAAGATGTAGAGTAGATAGACAAAAACATTCTTTATATTTTGACAAAAAAATCATCGGTCAGTTGAACATACAATTTGTAGCCTCTGGTATAGCCAACGTCATTCAATAAAGGAATAAAGAAAGAGTTCGCCCAGACTGCCTTCCTGTGGTTACGCTTATGACAAAATTGATAATAAAATTAGTTTTCCAAATTCGAAGGTTTCGGTATTTTGTATGAGAATAATGTTATCATATCAGTGTATATACTTTGATTATACTCAACTCATTATTAGATAATAATACTTTAAATATGCCTTATTATGAAATAACAAAATGCTTATCAGCTGAATGTCAAATTCTGTGAGTGAGAGTCATATGTTTTACATCTGAAAACGTAGAACAAGTTCAGTGAGGATCAAGGTTTCATTGAAATTGCACACTATAAAGACCATGGTACGTATAACAAAATGAAATGACTTGTTGATTTTTTTAAAATGTTTTGTTAACAGGTTATCCTAAAATACAGAGGACTTTGTGCACCTGTGTTCACCGTTTTCAGAAATGATATGTGAGTTGCAAATATTTAAAATTTCAGTACGTCGCGTCGCTATTCACTCGACAGAAATAGAAGTCGTATGGGTAATAGCTAAAATAACATTTATCTTCAGTACACATATATGAATAAAAGCAATCAAATATTTCTGAGATTTTTGGAATATTAGTGACAAACTTGAGATAGATTAGCTACGAATTGAATTTTTCACATGAAATTTCAGTTTTTCAAAGGAACAACTTTATAATTACTCGGTTGAAAGTTATCACACTCTACTCTCAATATATACAATACTCTATTTTCCATTATTTTTGATATGTGAAAATGACAAAATAGGTGGTAAAAATGTGTCATATTATTGATTTGTAGTCATGTTATTGACTTTGGTATATAGCGATGACTAATAAAGTACTTGTTCCAGATGGAAATCTCATCTTCATAAAGTTTTTTTTCTACTACTTAGGAGCCGTCTGACTTGTATAGGTACTAGATCGACATTATTAAGTCAAATACAGCTGCTGGACTAAGTCATGGCCGGTCACTGCTTTTTATATATCTATAAGAACCCAAATATCATTTTGATATCCATGTATTGTTTACTTCTTAAGCCGAACTACGTAAAATTCCAAACAAAAGTTGCTATTCCTTTTTTCCTAATATTTTCTTTGTCATACACCGACCCAAACTTTACGCATTTTTTAACAGAAAATCTCAGATATATTATCAGAGAATGAATACATATAATAGAAATATATTTAAACACGGAAATGAATGTGCTTTCAACTCCTAGACAAATTATACGTCAATGGCAGTGCATTGGTCCCAAACTTTGGAAATATATAATTTTTTTCTGTGACGGGAAAAAAGTTTGACATTTTATCTCTGATGACAGGTAACAAAATGTCACTTTTTATAACTTCGGGCTTCGACTGATCCTCAGCATATAGCGGGCTTGTCACATGCGTAGGGGTATGATGGGGACGCTAAGGGAAAACAATAAAAAACTACAGTAAAAATCAACATATTCTTTTCATTTATTAATCGCACTTTAGTTTCTTAATCAACTACAATTTGGCATAGTCCTTGGATAATAATGTTATCACAAATTTATGATAATTATTATTATTGAAGAGTCCATAAAAAGCCCGTCTTGTCCCGTATGTGGGGTATGATGGGGAATGATAAATGGGGCATGATGGGGTTAAGGGGGCAAGATGGGTTTCTTATTCATCTTCACAGAACATGCATATGAGTTCTTCTTCTAAGTTTTCATGATCCACCCCCGCACATGCAGTATGAGCCCATCGCTCACAGAGTTGACATTTTACCCTGTACGCTATTTCTTACCTGTTTCTGAAGTTGTTGAAAAACACAAAATATTACATCAATTATGCACTTTTACAATAATTTGGTTGTAAACAAAGAACGCACGCACTTTCGCCGACTGTCATGGCCGCACTGAGTATTGTTTGAAAGCGACTTCTGATTGGCTAAACTCATAATGAAAAATGAGAAATAAAACTTCCAATGTGTTTATATCACTAGTATTTGTAACAAACGTTACTGCAGTTTCGTCCTATGTATTTTCAAAGTTTATTCGCGAGGGTTTATCGAGGCTCACACTTCAGACCACGGTATATTTTTCTCAATCTAGTGAGGTCCTGATTGACGGTCAATCTGCGACTACCTTCCACAAATATGTGGCTTGGGAAGTAGGTCTCCTGTGACGCATTTCAGGGAGACACACTTTCATGGTTGCGGGGTACTAACTTCATCCACCAGCCGGGAAAAGCTCTGCTGATCCTCTCAGGTAGTCTGTAACCATCCACGGTGGAATATACAGCTCCGGAATGATAACTTACCGAGGTTGTCGGATGTTCAAAGTGCAAAACTCCTATTCCGAAGGTAATGATGATCCGTATGTCAGCTGAATACTTCATATTCAGCCATTCAGGTCTTTTCCACCGCTGGTTTGGGCGAATCATCGTTTGAGCGTGAGCATTTGCGGGACTTGGTCAGGAAGAGATTGTTTTTTTTCTGATGCATATTCTGCATCTCCTGACGTCCATCTCTTCTGAAGACTCAGGTTCGGATTTTTGGTTACTTCACGGTTCATAAGGGGTCCTACGGGTAGCTAGGGAAAGAAAGACTATTGCGGCAGAGTCTCGCATTACCGTGTCAAGATTTTCTATGATGAGGTGGCGCCCAGTATCCTGAATGCAAGAAAAAAATCTCAACATCGAGTTGTGATTTCGGAACAGAATTTAATATGATAATGGGATATATTTATGCATTGGAAATTATTGAAATGAACATCATGGGTCGATTATTCGAAGAAGATGATTCTGCTGCTTTAGTTCATTTTGATAAATTGGTGGTGTTCGCCAGAATGAATTAAAAACAGTTCTTTCAACTCGAGGCCTATTCGGTAAACAGAAAACCAACTTCTTTCTAACAAACTGTTATCAAATGTTAGTGGACAAATCAATGATCGAGCAAGCGAATGTTCGTACAATGTTCGTACAATAAATGCGGTAGGAGATGACATTTCGTACACATTAAATTAATTCCTAGTGTTATGTAGATGACTGCATGCTACGACAGCAAGTATTTACCTATTTTCTACCTGGAATTTTTATGTGAAAGAGTAAACAAATGGTTTTGCCGCTGTTCATAGATCTCACGAACATGAGATGAATCAACAGCGACAAAGGTATCATTCTGAAAAGACCGTTATCTAGTCTCTTATCTAAAAAAACAGGTGAATATCAGATAGTATATTCAAGATGCTAACTTGGTCAACGAATACACGTGGAGAGTCAGTATTTCTGTTCTGGCGTGTGGAAATTATTTTCAACAGAACAACCTCATCATTTGTTGATAGATTTTGAAAATGCCATAAATGGAAATTTAGAAAAATTTGTGAATTACAGTTTGCTGATTGTTGATATAGATAGATGTATTCGGTATTTGTTCAATTTGAATAAAGATGTTATCTAATTTGTTTTTTTTGCACGTTTCTACAGGACAGTTGATGTAGGTGTAATTCCAAAATATGCGAAATTCCTCTCTGACTGTGGAGTTGACGGAGTTCTGGGTGAGTACTTGAATATAAAATATATATGTTTGAAATATGTTTTTCCGTTAACCAGCTGTCGCACCCCTACGAACGACAACCCTCAGAAGTCGAAACTTGTGCGAGCTAAGGACTAACGAGGTCTTACCTTTTAATGTGTGATTCCTAACACTGGTTAGACGATAGCAAGTGAAAATCGATCGTTCAGTCTGCAGCTTGAACCACCGACTAACACAACGGTCGATTGATTGAGTGAACAATGCACCCACGTATAACCGACCGGCTATTGATAACTATTGATTTCATGGATATTCGTAGTCACTGGATACATTTTTTGTGTATAAACGGTTAAACTGTGAATCTGAAGATATCAATTTTCCCACCCCAGAACAAAAATCTTGTCTTTCTACGCGCGTTTCGCGAATCAAGTTAGCATCATCAGGAGAATAATAATAATAATGACAATAATAATAATCTCGTCTTTATTATCTTTTAATACATTCAAATCAATTTAATCATGTACAGTTCATTTATTATAAGAAGACAAAAGGCGAAGTTCAATTTACATGATGACAAGTCATCATTTAATTGCTCATGATGCTAGCTTGATTATCGAAACGCGCTTCGACAGTTTTTGGTGCTGGTGTGGTAAACGTGTTATCTTCATATCCATTTCTCACCATAGGTTCCAATTCTACCTATTAGGCTAAACTCTGGTGAACTGAAAGAAAATTTCCCACAGGATGAAAATCGCTTACAAGGTTTCTAAAATGTCGAAACAATTTAAGTGTTGTCTTAGAAACATCAAATTATACTGTCATATGTTATTCAATATTCGTTTCGTCATGGTATAAATTTTGAATCAATATCCAACTTCGTTTCATGAACTACACATCTTAGTGAATATTTTATTTTGAAATTGATTGCTTTTTCCTTTCTTTTTTGTGTTAACATGGAGAAGTAGAAATCCAAAACCTTTCTTTCCCAAAGAAAATGAACCTCTCCCAAAAATACACCCCTTTCAACTTGATTGATGATTTCTGAAACTTTTTTTTTCAGTACATGGAACATCTGGAGAAGGCATGTCAATGACAGTGTCAGAACGGAAATCAATTGTCGAAGAATGGGCAAAAGCTGTGAAATCTACCAAGCAACACCTGATGGTCCAGGTTGGTGGATGTCCACTACCAGATATTTTGGATTTGGCAAAACACGCCGAGCATATCGGAGCTGATTCAATCCTTTGTCTTCCTGAACTGTATTTCAAACCATCTACAGCAAAACAACTTATAAGTTACTTGAAAGTTGTAGGAGAAGCTGCACCGAAAACTCCTCTTTTGTATTATCACATACCTGCCTGGACAGGAGTGAATAGTGAGTAATGCTGAATAGCATTTCATATATTGTTATTGCTGTTACATTTTACATTATTCTACGAAGATAATCTGTATCTTCCTTTTATTTTTGATTTTTGCCAAAAAAAGTATATTTTTTTACCAAGGTAACCTAGCCAGTAACCAGAATTAGTGCAGAAGGCGATTAGAGCAAAGGGAGAGCATAAAGTGAATTGTCGAAAAAATCAAGGGAGATATTTATAATCATTTATATCAATCAATCAATATCATGCTTTATTGTCCAAGAAATCCTTATTGACAAAGCTAGTGAAACTAGCAGTGAAACTATCAAAATAATGATATACATTGAACAATCATCATAGGATTAAAAAATGCACATATAATAATACACTGGAATCAATGAAGTTGCCCCGGAGCACCAATTAATTTTTATTGTTGTTTTTATTTTTATCGTTGTATTATAATAACACTAAATGTACAGGGACAATCACCGACATAAATAAAACAATATATAAAAAAATTACAGATAATAAATGAATAATTCATTGCAGATATGTAAGCATCTGAAATACCTTAGTATTTTAGGCAAAATACATAATCGGAATATTCCTTTAAGTTATAGTAGACTTTTTGCAGAAGTACTTCTTCAACTAATTTTCTGAATTTTTTAAAATTTGCTATTGCCCTATAGCACATTGGAGGGTGGTTGTATATTATCTTGCTGTCATATATCAAAGAAAATTTTGTAATTGCTGATTTTGGGATTGGCAAGGGCAATTCCGACTTCCTCTCGTGTGGTAACGTCTGTCATTATTTGCTGCTGAGTTGGAGTATTTTTTGTGAATTAGGTAAATGGTTTCTAGAAGGAATAAACAAGGTACAGTAAGAATTTTCTGACTGATAAAAAGTGGTTTGCAGTGGTCTTGTGAGTTTGCCCTACATATGTATCTGACATTCCTTTTTTGTAGACCGAATACTGAATTCAGTAGTTGCTAACTACAACAGCCCCAAAAGGCAATTGCATATCTCAAGTACGACTCTATCAAGGAAAAAATACACAGTTCTGGCTGAGGATATATTGAGTTCGTTAGAAACAACTCGAACTGCATAGCAGCCATATGCTATTTTTTGCATAAATTTATTATATGCTCATCAAATTTTAATTTATCATTTATAAATGCCCCTGAAAATTTTGTGTAAGTTTTGTTAACTATAGCGTGATTTTCTATAAGTAAGTCATCAAAATTGAGTTTGGAGTAAACTATGTTTTATTTGTGTTGAAACATAATTCTGGATCTCTATAGGGTTAAACAGTGGTACGATTCAACACCACTGTTTAACCCTATAGAGATCCAGAATTATGATGTCTCTGAAATTATCTTCATTTGTCCCATGCCAAACGATCGTGGTGTAAACCGCAAAAAATGTGAACTTCCCTTCAATGTCAATGGTTACCAGATCATTCAGATAAAGCAGAAAAAGGATAGAACCCAGAACCGAACCTTGAGGTACACCTGATGTGTTATTCTCCACCCATACCAAGTGTATTGAATACACCCGTGTTGCAGTACGTCCACAGCCAGTTAGAAAAAGTATATTTCAAGAAATCCCTTTCAGCATTGGTTTGAACGATCCGAAGAAATAAACAGATCACTCTCTGTATTGAACATAGGCAATTCTCCCTGTAGAGGATAGAGCTGATGTGATCATGTTGAAACGCAATGGTGATTGCGTTTCATATTTTGCAATGGTGATTGCAAAATAAAATATATTTTTAAGTTTGCCGCAGATACTTCAATTTTATATTCTGTTATTTCATCGATGAAGGTTATCAATGAGTTCATTCGGAACTGTTTTTTGTCTTTTTGCTAACGCGGGCCATGAATTATAGTACCTATATTATGTATTCAGCAAGCGATAAAAACACACACAATATTGAATTAGTGTGGTTGAGCCAATGTTATTAATTATATTTTTTGTTGCTGCAACTGGCAGGGAGATGGTTGGTTCTTAAAATAAAAGACCTACAACCGATATATTCGAGATGGCCAAAGACAAGGTAATATGATCCAAACCGAGGATTTGATATCTAATGCCGACTTCAATATCATCAATCACTTTGAAAGGTAAAAAATAAAACCATAATGAGAGTATACTAAGTACCTCTAGAGGCAAGGCTGAATTTTAAACCATTTTATTCTCAAAATAAAGATGTCCCTCCGCTGACAGTTCGGAAGATGGGCTTCTGTTTTAAAATACTTGTACACTAGTCATAGTTGTTCAAGTCAAGTTGCCCGTACTCAATATTTCTATTTAAGTATTATAGTTATCAACTGATCTGCAACAAAGTGTATTGCCTGCATTGATAATTTTTCCTCAAGTAAATAAGTGAGGTTAATGTGAAATATCGCCAAATTTGTGTTTTGAGTTAGTATAAGGTTACGAGGTTAGTTTCAACTGTAAAAACCTTATTTTGATCAATTGTTTGACGAAGAAAGATGGAAACTATCTACAGTTGCACATCATGGTCATGGATATTTTCAGATGATCTTGTCTACTGATTAATACGCGGTCATCGGGCAGTAAGAAAATTCATCCACAATGGTTGTGCCACCGGGAATGGAGAATAGTTGATTTGCGAATATTTCGAATCTTCTGCCTAGTCCGTAGAAGACTTAAGTTATTTGGTAAAGTACAGATACCAACTGACACTCATCAAAGAAATGGTCCCAAAAAACCGTTCATTTTTATTTAAAATGACCATTGGCTGATGGTATCATTCCTGAAAATATTTTATTTCAGCTGAATCACCAAATCAAATACAAAATAAGAATATTTTGGTTCTTAGCAAAATTTGATTCTGCTTCTTTCTTCAAATAACGCTGATGATTTACAGCAGTGATCTTTCATGATTAAGTTGAATACGTTTTTCACATTAGAACACATTAATCGGTTTGTAAATCATCTTTGAAACATTTGCCTGGGTTTTTTCTCTAATATTTGATCCAACCACAATCGACCGAGAAAGCTCTACAAACACTTAACTCCTTAATAAACGTAATAAGAGAAAAATACACTTTGAAAATTATCTTCAACCATCTGATAAATCTGGTTTTGAAAGTATGCTGAAATTATTGAATGAAAAATCATGTATTTTATTTTTCTTGATCTATTATTTTTTAAGATGAAGCTGTTTGAGAGTAAACAGAATTGTTTGTGAATATTATATTTTTCAGTAAATATGGCACAATTTATGAATGAAGCAGCCAAAGAACTTCCCACGTTTCAAGGAATCAAATACACTTCTAATGATTTGGATGGAGGTGCCGCTGCTCTGAAAGCAAATGATGGAAAATATGCTGTTTTCTTGGGAGCAGATACGGTGAGTGGAATTAGTGATAGTGATTGAAATAGAAAAAATGTATTATTAATTATATAATTTTTTACGGATTTTGATGATGTAATATAACAAAAGGTAACACTGGAACCCCTGGCAGAAAAAAATCAAAGCAAGCATTTTTTCCAATCACCAGAAATGCAATATTCTTCTCGACGCGCGTTGGGGTCTTCAGGAGCCAGTTTTTCTTCATATTCTAAGACGCCAACTTTGTCGGTGAAACGCGCGTCGAATAGAGTATTGCATTTCTGGTGATTGGGAAAAGTGCTTGTTTTGGGTGTAAAATAATATATATTTTTTCTTCACATATAGTCAGTGGGCATACTTGAGGACTGGCTATAAATCAAATCATCTAAAAGAACAATTCGGTCATGGGCAGCCTAGTTCGAGGAATGATACTCTGAAGGAATTCGATTTTCAATTATCGGAAATCATCGACTTTATGTTGATGATAGACACTACCTTGCACTGACGAGTGGCCAAACAGCCCGAAACCGGTCTGCAAGTGTGTTCCAATAATTGAAAATCTATTGCGGCAATAACATATGCAGGAATAACTTCAGTGCAGAATCCTGCACTGACACCTGTCGGATATAATCCAACGCCCTTCGTGGTATAAGCCAGGGGAGTAGTTATTTTCTGATACGTGTCAGTCCATTAACCTACATTCTAGGGAGTGGAGACTGGCCTGAACGAAGTGTTCTTTTAGATGATTTGTTTTATATTTTTTTTTCTGTTTGATCATTTTTATAATATATAACAAAACTAATAGAAATTATGAAATTATGAAACAACAACAACAAAATTCAATTGGCATTTGTTTATTGAAACTTCAATCTTTAAATCGTAGATTGAATTGAAAGGTCACCAATAATCAATAACCAACCTATAACGATTCCATCTTGCTTAATTGAATATTCAAATAATGTGATTCGCCGAAAAATAATGGGCTATTTTATTTGGATCATTTGTTGTATATACGGAATTTGAAAAACATTTTTTTATTTACTTGTATTATTTTCTTTTGTCTTACATATTTTGATGAACTCTAGTTAGAATTTTTATAATTTCATTTCCAGTTGGTAGCAGGGGCAGCTGTTATGGGATTTGACTCTATTATTGCAACTACACTGAACTTTATTCCACAACTTGCATCTAATATAATGAAGGCAGTGAACGAGTCAAGAATTGATGAAGCTCGAAAATTACAAAATAAATTATCTGCTGCCTGTGCTGTTATCACGAAAGATGGTGAGTTCACTTTATAAGTTTCAATAATAATTTGTATTATTTCAAGGATATACTTTGACTTCAATATTTATGAAGACGCTGGTTGCTAGCCATCTAAAGATACGAAGATGTTTAGCCTTGGTTCTATTGTAGCTTCACAGAGTGTTCCAACGAAAATATTTCACCTAGTTTTTCACTTTTCAGTGGAATTTAACAAAACCCTGTGGGAAACATTCGAAACGCATTTTAAAGGAAGAACGACATTCCGCGTAATTTAACATTCAACTCTTAGCGAAAGTTACCGCAAAATTGCCTAACTAACGATACTGTTACGTTTTTCCCCGTGGGTTGTCCAATAATTGACTACATTGAACAATAAAACTTAACTTCATTTCAGTTTAAATATAACAAACAATCCAACTAAAACTTCAACTATAATTCGAATGTCTATCGCCTTACTGAGTGGATCACTTCGCGTACCCCACTGTAACGTATGCGTAATCAAATGCGCTAGGAAATTTAGTCGAAACTCCGTTGAAATCGGTAGCATTATTCTCGCTGCTTCTAGAGCGACAGGGAACATTGTGCATTCGCGCTCTCTTAGCTACGTCACATTTGGTTTATGGTTACCAGTGGCGGCCGGCGTTATTTTCTTTCGGGCATGATTTATAATAATACGTACTTGTTGAATTTCATTTCGACAATTAACTCGAATGCGGGGTTGAGAGCTGAAATCACTATGATTTTGAAATCAATGAAATAAGATCGTAAAATTTAGTTATCGCCATAACATATAATTACTTTGTTTTTGAGTAAGTTTTTCATTGCTTGATGTCTAATGTTTGTCAGTTATTCAAGGATATTTCTTTGGAAAGGAATAAACAGTTGAATTAATTTGTATTGATATTTGTTGGGACGTTGGGTTGACAAATTCTGAAAATATGACCCATTTACTTCCTATAATAATGCAGATTGTGTACACTGTGATTGTGTGCTGAAAAAATAGTCCGATAGTCAATGGGGACTCAAAATCATCTACTTGAAATCATGTAAATAGGCGAAATCATCAGTTAATACGAATTAGATTGGCACAGAAATCAAAGAAATATTCCAATAAAATCAGTCATAGACATTAGTGATTATAATCGTTAGTAATAGAAAATAGTTATTTGAATGATCCGGGCCTTCCAAAGGTTAATTAAGGTAAGTGACCCTAAATCAGACAGTGTCCCCAAATCAGACACTTTCGCAGTGATCTGCATTTACTACAGAAACTGTAATTCTAAACTGCCTTAATTCTTGCAAAGCGTCATCTAGGAATATTCAGAGAAAGTTTAGTTTTATAGAAAACGTTATTACCCAAATTCTCCATATTTAATATAATCTTAAAGTGTCTGTGGTTTGACTCATCGAAACAAGCATTCGATAGTGATTGATTTCATATAAGGTAAGTAACAAAAGGGCACGTCTTTGAAAAATTGTAAAATTGCGAATTTTAATTAGAATATTTAAATGAATTTATATTCTTATTATCCATGTCACATGTTTTTGTTGAGATAGATTCCTATTTATTCGAAAATCTGAAGGTGTCGAATTTTGGTACATCAAAATGAGCCATTGTCCTAGTTTCGTCACCCAAGTCTCGAATATATGTACCCAAGAAATCATTAGGAAATATTCCATCCTTTTCCAGGTCATATTTCGAACAATTAGATATCCAATGCATCAATTGTTATTTTATGATTCACATGTGGTCATAAATTCGACACGGGTGTCGAAGTTATGGACACTCTGAACTTGATTTCGACATCCATTGAAAGCTCTTGCTTTACCATTTGTTTATAATAGAATGTCAAAGAAAATTATGCCGGGAGAAAAGAAATATTGCAAATACTCCAAGGAAAATATAAAAAATGCCCTTGAAGGAATTAAACATGGGGAGTCATGCCCAACAGCTGCCAAAAAATACAGTGTTTCCAGAACAACTCTTATAGGACACAATCGGGAAAGTACCCAGTAGACTGCAAAAGTGGTGTTGGAACTATACTTACATAAAATGAAGAAGGTCTTTGATCGAAATGAATCATTAATATGGCAAGTATGGGCTTTCCGACAGTGTAGCCATTTTGGTTGATAAATTGAAACGGGACAGTGATTTCCATTATGGGCGATTAGGACGTCGATAGTATGAGGGGTTTCTAAAAAGTTACCCTGAAATCAACCAACGTACGAGTCAAAATATTTGTGCATCTCGAGCTGCGGTGACTCAAACCAAAATCAAAAGTTGTTTTGGAGAAATTCAGGACTATTTTCATGATGAGGGCATTGATATTACTGACCCAGAAAGAATATTCAACTCTGACAAGTCAGCTTTTTTTCTGTCTCCGAAGGGCAGCAACGTGTTGGTTCCAAAAGGATGCAATACTGTTTATGATCGATCTGGTAAAGACAAGGAATGTCTCATTGTTCTCATAACAGGTGAGCTCAAGCAATCGAATTATCTTTTACAAATATTTGTTAACTTGTCAATATCTCAGGAAATGCAGCAGGAAAATTGACACCTACTATGATAATGTATCCTTACGGAACGTATTTCCAAAAATATCATAATGAAGGTTCTAACTGGTTGGGTTATTGGAAAGTCCGAAAGCGGATAGATGTTCCCTGAATCATTTTTTGCGTATCTACATCACTAACATATTTCACTCCTGGTTAATCCGTGAACAGATTCAATTCTCAATTCTGCTTTATGTTGATGGCCATAAATCTCACGTAACATCACCACTCAGTGATTTTTGCCGAGAAAAAGGGATAATTCTGATCAGTTTATTGCCAAACTCAATTCATATTCCTCAACCTCTAGATGTGGGGCTATTCCGGTCTTCAAAGAATATCTTGAAGAAAAGGGTGCGGAAGTTCAGAACTGAGGTGAGTCAGAAAGCTTTTAATAGAGAAAAATTTTCCCCAGTTCTAAAAGACGCACTAAATGAATTACATAACATTGAGAGTATATTCTGCAATGCTTTTAGAACTTGTGGACTGCATCCATTCAATGTGATGAATGTTGATTTCAGTAAGATTTTATTAGGAAGCCAACAAGTCAATGGAAGTGATCTAAACACAGTTGACCAGACCATTGTAGCTCATTTGCGATTTTTTTAAAATACAATTGAATCAGATCTTGTTTGTAAATATTATGCACTAAAGGGCATCGAGAGGTCCGAGGATCTTTAAAATAAACAAATTTTTACACATGTTACAAAATTTTCAAAATGTCAGAATTGGAATTTGGCAACGAGGAGACTAATGTAGTTATAGAAGATGAGCCACAAAATAATCCATTCGAAGTTGTAGATTATGTTGTTATCGAGATAGAAAACGGATTACATTTAGGGGAAGGGAGGGAGAACATGTTGCTATGATATGACGGAAAATATATCTCTAGAACTGGATAATATAACTAAAGATACATTTGTGAAACCAGAAACTGATGAATTGGGTTATCAGTTGATAGAAAGAGGTCAAGAAAAAAAACAGTCAGGAGAAGTTCCCAGCACTATGGAGTGTGAAAGGGCAAGTAAGTTGCAAAATGTCAAAATATAATTCTGAAAGATTTGTATTTGCAGCAAGCGGACCAAAATCACTCAACACCTGAAAACGAAAGTTTATCCGAAAACATAAAAGATAAAGTACCTGACGTGAATGAAGAGGCATCATCAATAGACACCGAGTTAGTTGGATAAAACAACACCTGAAAATACTGACAGAGATGTTACTACTGATAATACAGGGATTAAAAGAAATGAAGATGATCAGGAGTCTGAACTAGCCGATAACAACAATCAAATGAATCTGTAATACCTGAAACCAAAGTAAACGATTATCTTGTGATAACCTATGAACAAGACCTGTACCCAGGCATCATTACAGAAATCGAAAAGAAATCGTAAAAAAAATTGGTACACCGGAGCAAATTGATAAAAGAAAGATTTTTGTAGTCAAAGAACTTGAATTGTTGTTTGAATAGATTCGTATTTTTGAATAGATTCATATTTTTTCTTATGAATAGTGTGAAACTGATGTCTACTTTTCAACGGAATAAGGTGAGTATGGAGCTTAGTTCTCAATACGTAATATGTCTGAATCAGGTCTTTTGTCTGATTTGGGAACACTGTCGAAAATTGGCTCAAATCTCGTCGAAATTATGGTCAATATGCTCCAATGGCTGTCGAAATTGCATACGATGGTACTATCATCAGAAATATTATTTTTGTGCAATTTGAACATTCTGGAGCTCTCATCGAAGGATATCTATGATACATCGGTATATACTGAAAGCTATGTAAACGTTTTCCATTCAATATTCATTCTGAAGTAATATAATTCCCCCTATCTTTAAATTATCTGAATTAGGGTCATTTACCTTATGTTTCTGCGCGAATTTACTGTGAATTTCGAAATTTTTTCTGAATGAAAGTTTCTCTACAGAATTCAGAACATAAAAAGAAAACAAAATATTTTCTAAATTGAAAGTCACTTCATGTATTTGCCGTTGTGCGACGGAGAAACTTACAATTTCAATTTATACAAAAAGTTGGTTAGCAAGATATGAAGATTATCATGAAAATCTGAAGTATATCTATTGTATATGTTCATTTATATTTCACACTGTATAGGTCATATTTTACTGATGTGTGTAGACAGTGAAGTCTGTCATTCGGTTATCACTTTTGTCATATGCATTTTTGTAATAAAGTATTACGTATTTCTTAACAAGAATTTATATATACAATAATATCGAAATAAATTGATAGTAAAAAACAAATCAAATGATTATACTCATATCTAATCTTCTAAATTCATCATTTGCCAAATATATCAATATTTTGTCAATATATTGTTGAAATAATCTACAAATTCCAATGAAATGAGTACTGAATAAATTAATGTCATGCTAAATACGGTAGAGTGAATTTCAAAGAGGAAAATGTAGATACCAATATTTTACCAAGAAAATTGATATTTCGAATGATATTTCTTTCAGAATAATTAGCAAATATTTGTTGAAATGTGTTAATAGATTTGAAATCAATGAGAAGAAAAATAAAATAAAAGAAGTGAAGTATTGAAACTTCCAAAAATACTACGACTGAAATATGTTAGTTAAAAAAGGAAATAATAAAAAAAATGAGACGGAATGAGAAATGAGTATAAAGTTCAGAAAATAAATAACATTTGATTTTTCAAGAAAACAAAAGATTTTGCCTTGAAGTGAAAATTAATTAAAATAAAGTTACTTCGTATTCAAATGAGGTGAGATTTAAAGTGTGTTAGAGTATGAAAACGCTTAAAAAAGCAATTGTATATCGAAACATGTGTTGCGGTTTTGTGAACTGTCTAATGGGAATCTCACAATAACGTGTTACTTGAATGAGTTTAGGGGTTTTCATCAGGTATCGAACGTATGTTTAGAGAAACCTTTTTTAACACGACCTAACGAATCACCTTCTAAAGTTTCGTGCCGTAGTTAAAAATCACCCTGTATATTGCATAACCTGCATTTGTTGAAGTGTATAGATAGAAACCAAGGAATAAAAGAACACAGGTCTAGTCTTATGTTATCAATGGCTGAACATATCTTGAATGACAAAGGTTTCCGTATAAATTTTCTTGACAATATAAATTCGAATAAGATTAATACATCTTCTGGCTACCAATCCGATTGGGAGCATGAAAGAATATATTTCCATATTGAAAAATAGTTTTCCAGCATTGAATCTACCAATTCCTCTGTAGAATTACTATAAAATAAACTTACCTAAGTATATGAAATGTTTTTTTCCACAGAGAAAGTTCCACAATAAAGTTAGACGGAATTTTTGTGTGTGTTTTTTACGGTATACCTATCCATCGAACCACTACAACCCCAAATTTTTAGAATATGCTTTCCAATAGAACGAACGTTATTTTTTTGTGGAGGAAATCAGAGTTTTTTATCCACCATTACAATTTTTATATTTCTTCAGATTGTGGTCAAATCATTATTTAATAGTAAAATAGGTATATTTTTAAGGGAGGTTCTCTTTTAACAAAACTTGAGTACTTCTCAACAAAATTTTCACATAAAATTTGATTTTTGAAATTATTTTTGGCATGAGTTCTGAATGACTCCGTATATATCTATTAGTTAGTATTATATGTTTTGAATTACATTTCTGTCGGAATGCAATATGGAAAGCAGTAATATGATTTGATTAAGAAAAAACATAACTTCACTTCCCCACGCTTCACTCGGTATCGTATATATTGGTGAATAATTTAGAAAAACCCAATGCTTCGATATGTGAAATTTTTATACGAATTGTTTCCTCATAACTCCATCTTTTTCCCTCGACGTATATTATTTTCTTAAATCACAACACAACAAAAAAATATTTTTTGAATGTTTCCTACACTAAATTAGTCAATTTCTACTAATTTTGGGGTGATAAAAACGAAAATAACAATGAAAGATTTTTATTAGCTCTGGTTTTTGAGATACACAGTACTTAATCTTAAAGAGTAGTTATACTATACGTGAAAAGTGAAAGTACATAAAACAATATTGTTATGTTTCTTTTAGAATATTT